AGTAGCGGAGAGATAGATCAGACTGCCGACAATACTCCGATAAGCAGTACCATCAGGTAATAAATCTCCCGAGTCGCGGCCTAACTTCAAATTAGGCTCCATAGGGGTGCGAACTGGCGTGCAGTCTTCAAAGCGATGATCACCCAGCAAATCAGAGATATACTTCCGTTGGCTCAGCAAAAGACCACTGGAGTTACGTGTAACCTCCAAACCCAGAAAATAAGAAAGGTCCCCAAGATCCTTGAGATTAAAGGCAGCATGAAGACCTTCCTTAAGATGACGAATACCCTCCTGATCACTCCCAGTAATGACCATGTCATCCACATACAACAACAAAGCCACAACCCCAGCAGAGGTCGTGCGAGTAAAGAGGGAAGGATCGTTGGAACTTTGCTGAAAACCAAGATCAGTGATAGTAGAATGAAACTTCTCAAACCAGGCACGAGGAGCCTGTTTGAGACCATAGAGAGAGCGATGAAGACAGCAAACCTGATCAGCAGAGCCTTCTGTGTAGCCAGGAGGACGTTCCATATAAATAACCTCGTCCAAATCCCCGTGAAGAAAGGCATTCTTCACGTCGAGCTGATGTAAAGGCCATTGCTTGGATGCAGCAACAGCAAGCAGAGTACGAACAGTCGACATTTTAGCGACAGGAGCAAATGTCTCCGTGTAATCGATCCCATACTCCTGAGAGAAACCCTGAGCGACAAGTCGGGCTTTATAGCGATCCACAGTACCATCCGGGTTCATCTTGATCGTATAAACCCATTTGCATCCAACAACAGAGGTAGAGGAGGGTGGCCGAGGAACAAGACTCCAAGTATTATTAGCATGGAGAGCATCGAGCTCACGGCGCATAGCTTGCTCCCAGCGAGGATCCCCACGAGCCTGTTTGTATCTGGTCGGAACAACAAAGGCATCGACTCCATGAGCAACATAATCCTGAAATCGTGGTGGAGGAATACCTCTAGTCACCCGATCGGAGCGCCGAGGCGGCGGCGGCGGGGGCTCGGAGGCGGTGCTGGTCGACGAGGAGCTGGTCGACGAAGATGGTGAAGATGATGCCGAAGGGGAGCCCATGTCAGGTGGCGGTGATGGTGGAGGGGTGGGAGGCAGATCAGCATGCGGAGTAGTGTCTTCAGGGGGATCATCATCAAAGTCGAACTCATCAAAGACAGGAAGACCAAGATTGGATGTGGGAAATGAGGGTGACATGGGACTCTCAGGAAAGAAGGGAAGATGTTCAAAAAAGACCACAGTATTAGCGATGCGAATACGTTGCAACTCTGGATCATAACACAAATAGCCTTTATGAACATCACTATAACCGACAAAGGCACACCGGGCGGTTTTAGAAGACAATTTGGTACGTTCACGTTTGGGTAACAGAACAAAGCACAGGCAACCAAAAACTCGAAGACGGGAATAGTCAGGATGGTGTGAATAAAGAGCAAAGAAAGGACTCTTGTGGTTCAAAACAGGGGTGACTTGATAATTTATAAGACGAACAGCAGTGGCTACTGCCTCTGGCCAGAACCGACTAGGGACATGAAAAGGTAAGAGTAAAGCTCGAGTGAGGTCCAAAACATGACGATTTTTACGTTCGACAAGACCATTTTGTTGTGAGACTCCAGGACAAGATTTTTGAGTCAAGATACCAAGAGACCGGTAAACCTCATGTAAAGGATGTGAGCTAAATTCCCCACCCGGATCAGAACGAACAATTTTGACTGGCCGATCAAACTGGGTTTGAATCATCTTTAAAAACTCAGTAGCCACAGATTTGAGATCAGATTTTAATCGAAGAAAATAGACCCAAGTAAAACGAGTGGCATGATCAATAAATAGAGCAAAATATCGATAGCCATGACGAGAAATCGTAGATGAAGGACCCCAGAGATCAGTGTGAATAATGTGAAAGGGCTCAGAAATAACAGTGTGGCTAGACGGGAAAGAGGAACTAACAGTTTTTGCCTCAACACAACCAATGCATGAATGTTTTCCAGAAATACCAACATGTTTTTGTCCAAGCAAAGATTGTTTAAACATCATACCAAGCCGACCAGAGTGGGGATGCCCCAAACGAGCATGCCAAAGGTCCCACACATTATTAGATGAAGCAGAGAAGCTAACAAAAGGACTACTGACAGACCTAACAGAAGGACTACTGACGATCGACGAACTAGGACAATCTTGGAGCTCCTCAAGATGAAATAACCTCCCCCTTTTACTCCCTTTGCCGATCTGCCTCCCCGTCTTCAAATCCTGAACAAAACATCCAGATGGTGCAAACAGAACAGAACATCCTTGTTCAGTAAGTTGTCCCACAGAAACAAGATTAGGAACTAACTTAGGAACATGGAAAGTATGTGACAGAGCTATCTTATCATCATTCATCATTCCCATTCCACATACTTGTAATTTATTACCATTGGCCACGCTCAATGACACATCATGAACAGGAGCTAGATTTGTTAAGGCACGGGAATCATGTGTCATGTGATTAAAGCACGCAGAGTCTAAAAGCCAAGGAGTTTTCTTACCGGATCCTTGAACTGTTGCAAAAGCTGAGCTTATGGCCGTGGGTAGGGCTTTCTGAAGTGCAGCATGCACTAATTCCTCAATTGAAGCCGCCGACACTCCATTTCCAGCGCTGCCTCCTTCCCCCAGCCCAGCGGTGCGTCGCGGATCAGTAGAGATCGCATGGGCCGTCCGGTCAGCTGAAGACCCAGCTGAAGACCCATGCTGCCTAGGCCCATATCTGTTTCCATTTGGCGGCCCATAAGTTCCAGGCCCGCCTGAGAAAGGCCCTGCGGAGTAATTGCTGCCGCCAGCAGCTCTTGCTTCATGTCGCAGGCGTGTCCTGCATTCAGTGACGAGATGGCCGGGTTTTTTGCAGTATACACAATAATTTCGGCGGCGGCAGTGCTTCTGGTAGTGGCCGCGTTCATGGCAATGATGGCATTCTACATCTGCAAGCTGGGGCGAGGGGTTGCGTTGCTGGAATTGAGGCCGGCCGACCGCAAAAGCAGCCGGATCGTGAGCAGAGGCAGCAAAAACAGATTCGCTTTCGCCTGGGCGCATATCAAGTTGCGCCTGCGTTCGGAGGCGAGTCTCTTCCCGGACCAGCTGTCCGAGAATTCCATCGAACTGCAAGTGGTCTCTGTTGAGCAGCATCGAACGAACGGCTTCAAATTCCGGCCGAAGTCGCATCAAAAACTCCATCAGGCGAGTCCGTTGTCGCTCGGCCATAGCATCTTCAGAGGTTTCAGCATTCGGACGAAGCGCAGCATTCAGGATATCCTGCTCCGTCCACAATTCTATGGCGGCATTGTAGAATTCGGTGATGGTCCGATCTCCCTGTTGCAGCCTAGCGAGCGCGTGCTGCAGCTCGAACTGTCGCGCAGCATTGACTGTCGAGTATGTGGCTGCCAAGTGACGCCACATCCGATTGGCTGTCGAGAACAAGCGTAGACTCAAACAAGTTGAGGGATCTACCGATCCAAGCAACCAGTGACGTACCCTTGCATCATTCTGATTCCATAAAGCTTTTTCTTGTTCGGTAGCAGACTCGGTCGGTTTCTGAGAGGTTCCGTCCAGCACACCAAGGAGACCTTTCCCTTCAACGTAGACTCTAAACTGAAATTCCCACAGGGCGTAGTTCGTTGATGTGAGACGAACTAGAGGCCTGTCTGAATCGATTCCGCCATGCTCTGATACCATGTTTGATAACCTGAACTGATCACAGAATAGAAAACGAGACAAATCGGTTTACGTGGTATCCCCGGAATATCCAGGACTAGTCCACGGAAGAGCAATCACTCTTCAGCTACTGATATTATTGATGTGTTTGTGTTACCCGGCCATTAGCTACTCTTCCTCTATATACACGAGCAGCAGGAGAAGAAGACCTAACCCTAGGAGCATAACACGTCTCCTAACAGTGGGCTTGCGGTAGAAATAAATGGGCTGTACAATGAAGGCTATACAATGGACTAAGACCAATACACTAATGGACCACATACTAATGAAAAGACTCGGTCCACTAACAAAATGTACTCCAATGGAAAATACGATGTGTATTTACAAATATATTTTACCATCAGATTTTTGTGCTCAATGAAATGCAGAAACACAAAGAAGATGTAATTGAAATCCAAGAGAAGAAAGAAGAATCAATTGATATGGGAGATAAATGTGCCACTAATGAAGATGAAAGCATTATTAATGGTGACGATATGGATGTTGCTCATGCCGGAGGAAATGCAAACAAGCCAAAGGAAGCATGCAGTAATCTCTGACGATGAGGAGTAATTACACGAGTCATTTTAATTGGTCTTTAGGAGTCGATTCCCTTACATGAAGTCGATTCTCTTCCAAAAAAACGTTCATTTTTTGTAAAATTATTTTAGTCGACTAGACATTAATATGTCGAAAACAGGTACAATATTCTTTATTTTTAAATTGTTAAAATATTTTACTAATTTCAATTCTCTCATTTTCCCAATCGGTTAGAATGTTTAGAGTATTTGAAAAACATAAATTTTCTTATAATAATGCGAAATTCGAATACAAATTACCGTTGTTATTTGCACGATTACAACTTAATCCGGCCAACTGGCCGGGCCCGTCACTAATTCTCGGTCAAACGAAAGGACCATAGTGATGACGTCCCTCCCAAAAACGTCCAAAACCAGCAGAAAATTCAACCACATCCATGCAACGCTTTCATCCAGTAACCAAAGTCAACCTGCAGTTCCGTATGAGACTAAATCACTAAACTCAGCTCCACACCGCCAATGCCCAAATATGTAAGGCACTGCAGCAAAATTCCTCCCTCTCGGTTGTCCACCAGACATAATTTTATGGTTCAAATGAATCAACCTGTGCCGATCGAGGATCTTATCTTTTTACTAGTCACTTACGTTTTGGTCCAGATTTTTTTGCCTAAGCAATGATCTCATCACCCAATACTGACAAACATGCGCCTCTCTACCAGCTGCGTGCAAACTTGTTATAAAACCACAGAACCCAACCAACCTTCGCCTCGCCTCGTCTCGTCTCAGTAACTGAAATTGCACACAAGAGAAAGAATAAAAAACTCCTTTTCCAGATGCGTTACATGCAGGATGGCAGCGGTGGTGTTTTGGTGGTAGCTATAGCGGCGATCGTCGCAGCCAAGCTGTGGCAGCTACTATGGGCACTGTTCTGGAGGCCCTATGCCTTGACCAAAAATTTCAGAAACCAGGGAATCAGTGGTCCTCCTCGCCACTTCTTCCATGGCTCTCTCCGAGAAGTGAAGGAGCTGACAAGGAACGCCGCCAAGTTGGTGTTGGATAACACCTCCAACGACATCACTCCCAGAATCAACCCTCACTACGACAAATGGTTCCCTGAGTATGGTCAGTTCTGTTCTAGTTCGCCCTTGCGAATTGCGATTCTTTCATTGGTTCGATTCGATTGGATTCAGTTGACAGTATAGAGAAGTTGGGTGCACGACTGAATTAAATGGAAAATTTGCAGGGGAAACGCTTGTGTACTGGCACGGGCTGCTGCCCAGGGTCACAGTTACGGATCCTGAGCTTGTGAAGCAGATTTTGTCAAACAAGTTCGGTTTCTATGTGAAACCCATGTTCCGGCCTGTGACGGTAATAGCGAAAGGGCTTGTGCTGCTACATGGGCCGCAGTGGGCTACAAGGAGGAGGCTTCTCAATCCTGCCTTCTCCATGGAAAAGCTCAAGGTCTCTCTCTGTCTCTGTATCTTCTCTGCTCTTCTCTTACTTTCTTCTCTTTGTATGTCTAGCGAGGTGGGGCACAACCTGAACACTTGTTTATGTTAGAGTGTGGTATAAGATCCAGTATAACATTCTCCTAATAACTCGAGTTATTAGGACCAATTGGTTTATCACATGGTATCAGAACTGGTTTGACCAAGTGATGCACAAAATCACTTGGTATGGTATGGTGAGTCAGCATTAACCAACTGGTTTATGACAGTCTTTTGTTTATGAAATTTGTGACACAGCCAATGATGTACAAAATCGGATCATGCACATTGGAAATGGTGTCGGAGTGGGGAAACCGTGCAAGAGAAGGCGGCGGGTGCGCCAAGGTAGAAGCGAACGCAGAGTTTCAGAGGCTTACAGCCGACATAATTTCTCACACCGCCTTTGGAAGCAGCTACCTTCAAGGGAAAGAAGCCTTCCAAGCCTTGAGACAACTGCAGCTACTCTCAGCAGCCAAAATCGCTGATGTTTTCATCCCTGGAAGCCAGTAATTATAATAAACAAGTTTTCTCGTCCCCTGAAGTTACAAGATGCCTAGTACTGAGATTGGCTTATATTTGGGTTTGTTTGTTTTTTTGGGTAGGTATGTTCCTACTCCGTCGAATATGGAGATATGGAAGCTGGACAGGACACTGAAGAACTCCCTGATGAACATCATACAGGGCAAGGTTGCAGCATCCAAGTCCAGCGATGTTGGTTATGGAGATGATCTCCTAGGCATGATGATCGAAGCCTCCGAAACAACCAAAGGTGCCAAGATGAACATGAATGAAATCATGGATGAATGCAGGACATTTTACTTCGCCGGCCACGAGACCACCTCCAATCTTCTGACATGGGCCATTTTCCTGCTTACCATGCACCAAGAATGGCAGCACAAGCTCAGAGATGAAGTGTTGAGAGAATGTGGGATGGAAATCCCGGATGCTGATTCACTGTCCAAGCTTAAGTTGGTAAGCATTCGATTTATTGGTATTAGGCTATTAGCTCATGAACATCATATTCGAACCTTTGAGTAATTGCCTTTTATTTAACAATTTGTTTATCATGTTGAAGGTGAACATGGTACTGCTGGAGACATTGAGACTGTACAGTCCTGCCATAGAGATGATGAGGATGGCACCACAAGACATGAAACTGGGGAAATTGCAGATTCCCAAGGGGACCATTCTGTCAATTCCCGTCCTCAAGATCCACAGGAGCAAGGAATTGTGGGGAGATGATGCAAACGAGTTCAAACCCATGAGGTTTGTGAATGGAGTCTCCATGGCTGCAACTCACCCCAATGCTTTCCTCCCCTTTGGAATGGGTCCAAGAGTCTGCATCGGCCAGAACTTTGCAATGATGGAAGCCAAATCTGTGCTTGCATTGCTTCTCCAGAGGTTTTCTTTCACTCTTTCCCCCGACTATAAGCATACTCCTACCAACAACCTCACCTTGCAGCCACAGTATGGCCTTCCTGTCTTTGTAAAGCCCTTATAAATTTCCAAGTCTTTGTAAAGAATGGGAGATGGAAGTGGATAATTGTTGGAATATAAAAGCCTTGGTAAGGGCATTTATTGTTTATTAAGCGATTATTTGCAAACTCATTACTCACATTGCGAGGATATTGTGATTCAGATTGGGCCACATGCTCTTATAAAAAAAAAAAAAGCTGTCACTTGCTACTACTGCACTTTTTTGGGAGATTCATTAATTACTTGAAAGAGCAAGAAACAAAATACATTTTCACCTTCATCGGAAGCAGAATACAGGGCATTGACACAATTCTCGTGTGTGGGGTACAATGGTTAAAATCATTACTTGCATTTTATGGAATGTCTCATCTAGAACATGTACAAGTGTTCTGTGATGGGTAAGAGTAGAATGGGATTAGTGGAGTTAAATGGCTTGATCAGATAGTAGAGAATGTGATTATTTTATTCCCCGTCATGAATGTCAGCGATTATGCTAGAGCTTGGTTGTACTACAAAATTTCATCGCAATTAGATTCCTCTGTTTTGGGAGTTAGAAATTCTGGCAATTTAGTGGTCTTGGCTTTCTTATGTAAGCTTAATTCGATGGTTTAATCTGACTTCCGTTGATTATTAGTTTTCTTGTTGCAAGCTAGTGGCTGGCAGGGAGATTGAATTCACTGTCTAGCAATCCAGGTTATAATGCTTCTACTTTCAAGTTAGGCTTGTGGTGTACATGGAGCCATCCTGTTTTGAATGACAAAACCTCGATTTCTAGTCACTTTTTTGCTTAAGACATTAAGAATAAATTGTAAGAGGAAAATATTAGCATCATAAATATGTCGTCATGAAATAATTAGTGTAACTCATACAATATAACTCCAAAAATGGCAAGAAAAATAAATAAGATGTTGTGGGAGAGGTTTGTAGTAATTTTCACTCGCTGGCCAATAAAGTTATAAATTACCGGACAACGATATACATATTTGGAACAAGACAACGGTTAATTAGAGAATTTACGAACTTTCTGCGTTTGAAATGAAAAATAACCAAGACGGAAAAGACGGAAGAATGTATCATCAAGTTCTTTTGGTTTTTTTTTTTCGTTGAATCTGTTCCCCTTTTTATTAAACCAAAAGGCAAAACCATTTGCAAGATACAAATGGTTAACAAATACAACGAAAGGAAAGCTCGTGAGGAGCAGCCCTATAAGACAATCACAAGCACTATCATCTTCCTACTACACCTCCACAGAAATACAAACTTCAAAATCAACCACTAAACAATACTCCCCTGCAAACCAAGTAGCTGCAAACCTTTCAGAAGCTCATCGTTATCAGCGCAAATGACCATCAAGTCACTCTTAAGTTCCCTGATAAAATCCTCCACTTGTTTCCTAACATTGCCATACAACCGACGACACCGTTCCTTCCATATCCCTGCACAACAGAGACACCATATTAAGCTTGTTATCCTGCTCATCCTCGGCCGTTTGCAACAGGCTATACCTGCAGTCACAGTATCCTCCCAAGATCTACAACAGAGCACCCCCATCCGTAACTCCATAACCACTTGACTTGAGAATCCACACGCAAAAACAAATGCTCACGGTTTTCTATTGCATTTCCACACAATACACATAATCCATCAGTCTGTTTCCCCCATGTCAACAGCTTCTGCTTTGTAACCACCACATCCAACATGACCATCCAGGTTAGGAAACTGTTTCGAGGGATGTAATTCTTCCCCCAGACAAGCTTAGCCCAAACTACCTCCGCATGCTTGACTCTCAGTGTGTTCCAGACTACAGTCACCTTGAACACAGGCATAGGTTTATTTTCCCACATGATCTGTGAATTATGAAGCATCATTAATGGTTGAATTATACCTCTTAGTTTTAGTATCCTTCTCCAGGCCCAGGAGCTGCTTGGACAATCAGAAACTGTCCAGTTACACCGATCCTTGACCTTATAATGTTGAAACCATGCTACCCAGATAGCACCACTCTTCATTAGGAACAGCCAGAGAAACCTGACTGTACAAGCCCTATTCCAGGCACATAAATCACGCAACCCCAATCCTCCTTCCACTCGAGGCCTTGCCATCTTATCCCAACTCACCTTAGCACGACCCTCTTCTCCCCCCATGCCAGAGAAACCTAGAGCACAACATTTGAACTTGCTTGATAACTTTCTTAGGTAAGATGAATATTTGCATCCAGTATTGTAATGTCCCCATCAGAACTGAAGAAATCAGTTGCAGCCTCCCAGCATAGCTGAGTTTTTTCGCCCGCCAAGACTGGATTTTCTTCGTGATGATGGCCACTAGTTTGTCTGTCTCGCTAGAAGGCAGCTTACCAGAAAGAAGAGGAACCCCTAAGTATCGGACAGGTAAATCTCCTTCAGCAAACCCTGAAATCTGTAGTGCTGTCTGCTTGAATAGTACTGACTTCCCACCAAAGTAAACTTCGCATTTACTTGGATTGCACTTCAGCCTGAAATGGAATGGAACTCTTTCAAAATCCCCTGAACCCTATGTATAGCTTGTCCTGATCCTTCTGTGAAGATGAGTAGATCGTCAGCAAAACACAAGTGTGTGAGGCCAACTCTCTTGCATTGTGGGTGAAAGGGCAGGGTACCTTCTGCAGCAGCTCGATTCAAAAGAAGAGAGAGCCCTTCCATAGCAATTGTAAACAGGTAAGGTGAGAGGGGATCACCCTGTCTCACCCCCCTCTGTGCTCCAAAGAACCCACACAGCCCACCATTTATACATGTACTAAATTTTGCTGTTTTAATGCACAATCTGATCCAATAGATGAATCTTGAAGGGAAACCCATTACTTCCATCATTTGGAACAAGTATCCCCAATGAATAGAATCAAATGCTTTCATTAGATCTACCTTGATGGCACATATAGAAGATAAAGTAACCTTGTGATATCCACTTACTAGCTCCTGGGCCATTAAAATATTATCAACAATCCTTCTTCCCTCTATAAAAGCAGACTGATTCCCACTAACAACAGTAGCCAGGACTTTTTTCAATCTATTTGCAAGCAGTTTTGCAATAATTTTGTAGATTATGTTCACACAAGAGATTGGCCTAAACTCTTTCAGTCTACAGGCAGAGGCAACTTTAGGTATTAGTGACACAGCAGTAGAATTAATACTACTAGGGAGTTTACCTGTAGAGAAGAACTCCAGGATCCCAGAGGTAATGTCTTCTCCCACAATCCCCCATGTCCTCTTGTAAAAACCCGCTGAGTAACCATCGGGGCCTGGGGCTCTGTGAGAGCTCATACCAGCAACAACCTGTCTCACATCATCTGCAGTAAATTCCTGGCATAGGAAGATCTTCTGTTCTTCACTCAATCTATGCAACACCAGAGACTCAAGGAACTGCTTATCAGGGTGTACCTCGGGGTCAATAAATCCAAATAGACTCTTATAAAATCTTACTGCCTCAGCAGCAATATCCTCCATTTCCACTATCTCCTCACCCCCATCAAGCACTAACTTTCGTATAGCTTTTTTAGCAGTCTTTATTTTAACTGATTGGTGGAAAAACCTTGTGCTCTGATCCCCCAGCTTCAGCCTTCAGATGGTTAACCCGAGCCTTCTGCCAATAAAAACTTTCCTCATCCTTTTTGAGTTGTCCCAGCTTAGAATTCAGATCCTCAACCACAGCAAAAAGAGCACCAGATGGATCAGAGAGAGCACTTTCTTGTGCAGCAAGTAATTGCTTTTCAGTGTCCCTGACCTGTCCACTGATGTCGTTATAGACTTCTTTATTCAACTTTTTCAAACCTTTCTTGACTGCGTTTAGTTTGATTTTTATTTTCTGGAATAGATCTCCCTGAGCAGGTGTAGCCCACCCTTCTTCAACTATTTGGGAGAAATCAGGATGGCCAGCCCACAACTCAAAGTATCTAAAGGGCTTTGGGAGAGTTTTCTGTTCTGGTTGTGTGTTAACACATACCCCACAGTGATCTGAAAAAGTACCCACCAGGACCTCAATTCTACAGTAAGGAAAATTATCAAACCATGCCTCATTCACCAATGCTCGATCAAGCTTCCTGGAAATTGGATTCTCCTTTTGCCTATTCGTCCATGTAAAGAATGGTCCACTTGATCTGTGATCAACCAGTTCCATTTCATCTACCCAACTCTTGAACTCCATCATACAGCTAGTCATCATGGTCATATTTGAGGTTTCTAATGGTGATAATACAGAGTTAAAGTCCCCCCCTACAATCCATGGGACTGTGGATAACTTGAATTGAGACAAGTCCTTCTAGGTATCCCTTCTCTCCATCTCATCATTAGAAGCATAAACTGCTGTGATAAAACAACTAGCTCCACCCGATTCTTTAGCCAAACAGTGCACATAGTTCTTTCTGGCAGCAAGTACCCTAAATTCAATATCCAAGTTCCAGAATAACCAAATCCTGCCTAGATCACTGTCACAGTAATTAAGAAACTTCTTCCATCCTATACAAAAATCCACCACAGTTTCAATTGATTTTGCTTTCCTAACCCTCGTTTCAAGAATAGCCACCACATCTACCTTATGCCTACGTAGGACTTGTGAGAAGTCCCTTCTCTTAGAGGGTTTATTAAACCCTATAACATTCCAGAAAAGAATCTTCATCCTGGGGAGGATTGAGAACCCCCACCCTTCCTACCACCCTTCTTTGGAGCAGCCTGCAGCTGTGTAATCTCCTTATCCCCTAGTCCTTTTAAAGCAGCAAACGATTGATTAGTCTGCAAAACACTGGTAGGACTAGGAAGTGGAGACCAGCATCGTGGTCTAGCTCCATTCACCACCTTCTGAAATTCATCCTCCGTGGGAAGCACTGGTGAGCTACAACTTGCTACTGATTGAAACAAATGCTCTAAATTTATGCCCACACAATTAGTACCAACCATAAGATTAGTGCTCAATTCCATATCTTCTGCAACTACTTCCTTTCCTTTATCCTGTCCTGTTGGGTTGTCTGCCTGGATAGGGGTACTGTTATTAAACATTGCCACTGTCTTCTTAACCCAGACACGCTCAACCACATTGTTTCCTTGAGCCCCTTTAGTCTTCAAAGCTTGTTCCCGTTTGCTACATCCACATTTCTGGCCAAATGATTGGCAATGGTCACAAACAGGAGGCAAGTGGCTGTAAGCAACCCCCACCTTAATTGAGCAG